CCATTTTCTTCTCGGGCTTCTGGGCACACATGTGCAGTGTGAGTTTCAAACTGCTGGGCCCAAGACTTGAACCACAATTGGCCATGTGGGAGTCCAGCTGCTTTAACCACCATGTCACCTGCCATCCTGGATTAATGTCCTTATAAGAGCGGCCCGAGGGAGCTTGTTTGCCTCTTCCCTGGTGCACAGATTTGCTAGGTAGTGTCTGTGAAGCAGAGTGTGTCTTCACCAGAAGCCAAATGTGTCTCGATCCTAGACTTCTCCCCCTCCAGGCTGAGGAGCAATAAATTCTCTTGTTTATACATGATCTGGTCTAAGGTGTTTTGTTATAGTAGACTGAATGCTAAGACTGCAAGTTACTGCTTTACTTCCCCTAAGACTATTAATTTGGCATTTTTTTTTCTTTAATTCTTCTCATTTTATAGACTGGTCCATATTCTCACAGTTAGGAAATGGCCGAACCAGGATTCAAACTCTGGCTGCCTCAGCAGCGAAGTTCAGGCCACATCTTCTGTGGCCCTGGAAAGCTCAGAGTTCCTCTGTCTTGGGGCTGGTGCAAGCTGGAGGACAGTGACCTAGGAAAGCCTTGAGCCACCAGGGCCCAGGAGCTGCCTCCAAGCCCTGCTCTGGTTGTGTCCTTTGTTCCCTACCCAGCCCATGTGGAAGCAATTAGCTACAATAATAGCTCACGCTCTTTCTTTCACAACCCCTCAGGCACGCACCGCACGGTAAGACAAGGAAAACTCAGGCAGATTGACAAGTGTCGCCTTCTATGAAAGTGGCTGAGAGGAGGACCCTTTCCCCAGAGGTCAGCCCTGTGCGACAGTGGTCAGCTCTCCAAGCACCTGCACTTTCTTGTCAGTCATTCAGGAAGGGGTGTCCTCGTGGTTCTCACTAGCATCTGCAGCTGGGGCCGACCAGCTCTTCTCTGCCCCTCTCTCCACTCTTGCATGGGGTTGCCCATCCACTTCCCTCTGGGTGCAGGCGGATAGCTGATAAATACCAGCTGTCGCTGGAGGGCTCTGCCTAGATTTCCTACCCTCCAATGCATCCTTTCAACAGGTGTCTGGTGACACGGGGCCCAGGAGGTCCTGTCTGCCTCACAGATGTTAGGTTCCAGCCACAAAACCAAACAAAACCTGGGGTGGATAAAGAGTCCAGATTTCAGTGAAAACGAATCTTTCCAGGGCTGCTGACTCAGGCGTTTTCTTTCCAAACATCTGAAGCAGCAAACAGATTGTAAATTAGGAGGAAGTTACAGGATAGTAGCTGAAGGGCAGCAGGGCCTCCTGGGCTGCACGGCCCGGAGGCCAGGGGCCAGGACATCATAGCCAAGAAATGAGATTAAATGGCGTGGGGGAGAGGGATGGGGCTGGAACAGGGGAGCTGGGGAAATAGGTTAATGGGGAAAGGGTTTAGGCCTCTCTTTTGAGCCAAGGGAGAATGTTTATTCTGACAAGTGGTCGAAGGCTGGTCTGCACTATTCTCATTAGCCAATGAATTAATGATTCCCACCCAGATCACAATTCAGGCTCCCAAGGCAACTCGGCAAAAATAAAGGGCAACCAATTGTGACCCTGCTCAAATGGAGGCTTCCATGAGCAAAGCATTAAGTGAAGAGTGGGACAGCCTTGGGCAACACCTTTTTTCTCCTTCTGAATAAAAGTACTGATTTCTGTGAAAAACCTTCAGGGAGCTAAGGGATTCTCTACTGTGGCTTGAAAAAAAAATCTTTTTTAACTTGCCAGAAGGCATGTGCACTCTCCAGAGAGAGTCAGAGAAACAGAAAGGACGAGAGAAGGTGAGAAAGCACCCCCAGGATGGGTGGCCGTGCTGCCATCTTTTCTCCTCCATTCTCCTCTCGAGATTCCGGGCATGCAGGCACACGAAAAGTTTTTTAGCAGCTGAGTCCAAGACTCAACTGCATAGTTGGCCATGTGAAATCCAGCGTCTTCACCACTTTGCACCCCCACTGGTCCATGGTGTGTCTTTCAAGCAGCTGGATTCAGGACTAGAACCATGTGGTTGGCTTTGTGGAATCCAGCCGCCCTGTCATGTCATTGGCTGGCCTGTGGCTTGAATTTGTGATGACAGAGCAGTGACGACAGGGCAGCCCCCAGTGTGGTGGGCTTTGGTAGTGATCCTGCTGGATTTGGGGTCCAGGGCCATAGCGGAGATCCTGGCCTCAGGAACACACTCAGAAGCAATTTCCTCTCCCCTCCTGCACCACCTCCAGCCCGAACGTGGAATCGGTGCTTTGGGTAACAGAAAAGGGAAAAGGCATGGGATAGAGGATGCTGAAGGCTGACGGCTAGCTGGGCTCGTTTCAACAAGGAGCAGGCCTTTTCAGGTCGCCCTGTGTGCCACTAGAGCTTAAGGACCCTATGAGGGAACTTCAAGACATTCATGGAAAATTAGAATTAAAGTGTGAGTTTTTTTTGGTAATGCATTTTCTCTGAGCTTTGTGAAGACCCTGCATGTGATGTCTAATGCTAACCCTCTCAGGGTCTCAAGCTCTGAGGACCTATGAATGGTTGTCTGAGCCCCTGAGTCACACATGGGCCTTGCTCAGGGTCTGAGGGGCATCTCTGCTGGGTTTCCATAACCATCCGCTCAGGGCCCCTCTGAGCACCAGTCAGGATGGACTGCAGGATTGGGGTCTCTGCACTGGAGCTGTGTACTTTTCAACCAGGGGCCACCTGGTGGTGTGGACTGTGAAGCCCTAAGAACAGCTGAGATTACTCCATGTTTGGCATTGGCAAAATGGAAACCCCACGGGAGGTTGTTTCAGAGCTTAGAGAGTCGAGTCCGTGATTGATGGAATATGAGATTTTTGGGGAAAATCCAGATGAGGCTTAAGGTGGGTTCATGATATTTGCAGGCAAAGGCAAAACAGAGATTCTGGAAGGACTCTTGTCAATTTCACTGACGGTTCATGCATAAACTTCCTTGGGAAGCAGATAGGTGAAAGTCTGCCCACGTGCCAGGTGCTGCACCAGGGCCTGCGGACAAACCTGAGCCAGACCCAGTGCCACTCTCCAGGTGCTCCCAGCCTAAGGGGCAGTCAGCCAGCTGGTCACCAGGACATGGGTGATGAAAACGTGACAGCCCTGGGGCTGAGTGTTCAGGCTTTCTTTCCCATATTCAGGCCGGGACTCAGGATGCTCCTGCCCCCAGCTCTGTGACCTTGGGGATGTTACGTAACCGTCCCAGCCTTGGTTTCGTCACCAGTGAAATGGGAGTAAGTACTGTGGTACTGCTTCGGGTTAGCATGAGGCCTCAGGGGGAGAACATGTACAAAGCTCCGTATCTGGTACTCAGTTGGGCTTAAAAATAAAAAAAAAAATTCACTTATTTAATTTCTCTGAGAGAGAGACAACATCACAAACAGGGTCCTGACACCGATCCCCCGAGCCTCGGTCAGCCTGGATCATGGGCAAGCACATGCCCAACTTAGATTCCCGGACTTGAACCCAGAACCTTCCCACGTGGATCAGCCTCGCAGAGCATCACATTTTACTTTTGCACCCTCTGGCCCCTGGGCAGCACTCTTAATAATGTAAGCCAGCCTTATCACCTGTGCTATGTGGCCAGAGAGGCTTACCAAGCACTGCAGGAGGCTGCAGAATCGGCTCTGATGGTGAGGGTGGCCCAGACAGGCTCGCAGACCCTGGCTGGAGAGAGAGAAGGGATTATTCCTGGGAGCCCTAGCATGGACCAGCCCCCAGGGGGCGTTTGGGAGCCAGAGAGGAGCTGGCTAGCCAGCTGGAGCCAGGGTGCAGGCAGAAGAGCAGATGCCGAGTGCTATGCCATTCTTCCTGTTTTTTTTTTTTTTTTTTTTTTCTGGAGGGGTTTTTCACTACAGGGCGCATGCGCTCGCCAGACAGACAGAGAGAGACATAGAGACAGAAAGTGAGAAATCACCCCCCAGGGGGGATGGTCACGCCGCAATCCCTTCTCCTCCATTCTCCTCTTGGGATCTTGGGCACGCACGCACACGCGCCCAGCGTGAGTTCTAAGTCACCGGGTCCGGGAGGCGAACCGCAGTCGACTATGTGGGAGTCCAGCGACATAGCCATTACGCTAACTGCTGGTTCCCCCAAATCTTCCTGTTTTTAACAAAGTAGAAGCCCTACCAAATAAGTTCCTTTGCATTGAAATACTTTAAAACTGAATAAAATTTCACATCTGAACTCATTGCTTTTCTCAGATATCGAAGTACAAAGACACCGGGATAAATTTTAAATTATTTTATTTTTGTATAAGCTAAAAGGAAATTTACACACTGAAATCTCAAAAGACCTTGGGCATGCACATTAACCTGGTTAGAGGTTCTTCTACATGTCTCTCTTTTTTCCATAGGAATTTCCCCAAACATTTAAAACCCATAGTTTTTACTGTATATACAGCCTAAACCATAGCAATCTATGATTATGTCATTTTTACACTGTGCAAAATCCTCAAAAAATAGTGGTACGACAGAACAACAAAAAAAAATCAGTAACAAGTAAATTTCATTGTAAGACATTCATATAATTTGGTCCTTCGCCAAATTAGATTTAAAACAGACACAATCTTTTTAAACCCCTCCAATCAAGTTCTGACAATGATCCATACCCTATAACCAAAAAACAATTGATGAAGTACTTCAGAAAAGGTCAAACAGCAATATGCCAGAATGAAAAGATTAAAAAAGAGCCCCAAAATGTTAAAAGCCAGATCTGAAAACAAACCCATCACACAGAAAATTTAAAAAAAAAATTAAACAGGAGCTTATTTATGATAATGGAAGTAATTCAA